GGCTTTTGTTGTCTTTAACGACTCTTGATGCCATCATGTCAAGCTTTTCTTTAAGCGAAGGACCACTGTAACTAAGATTTTTGTGCAGTCACAATTTTTGTATTTTTTTAGTGTGATGCATTTTTCTTTTTAATTGTTTCGAGGTAACCTATTTTTCAACAAAGCCTTTATTTATTAAATATTATTTCACATGTTTTTTACGAGGGTCACGTGCTATGTAGTAGGTAGTGCAGTTCATACCTCTGTTTAAAAACTTCCTTCGTAATCTGTTTCAGTGTTGTGTATTATAGACCAATTAAAATATGCACTGGTGCCCCCACATTGCTAAAAATATGTATTTTCAAGCTCCCAGGATGACATACTAAATATCACTAACTGCTCTCAAGCAAGATTCTTCTGCTCTAAAATTGAAGTTTTGCTGCTCAAAAAACTGCTCCTAATTTAGTCTTGGCTGTCTCACCCCCTGAGTCACTGATATAATGCCATAGGAAAACTATGTAACGATTTTTAATGTTTGTCATCGCAGGGGCCCAATATTTACAGTGCTTGACAAGCTGATAAAAAAAAAAACAGAATTCAATCTTGTGTGAAGCAGTCACATGTAGGCGAAATGCAACCCTGAGGGCAACCGATTATTTCTTATTCAATGCTACACTGACTAGACATCAAAGGAATTCACTTGCACATAATTACTAGCGCTTGCTGCAAAGATACATGTGTGCCATAAGGCAATACGACACAGGATGCGTACATTAACCAGCATATAGTGCGCTTTGCGCATTTCATCAAATACTGCAGAAAGGTATACCATGACACAGTGCTCATGATAAAGAACACAAATACTTGGGACAAACGTTCGCATGTACTGGAAATGTCTAAGTGCAATACTTACATGAAAGAATTAGAGCTGAGAAAACTACAATGACCCTCAGTCGACGCTGGCGAAGTGATCACCGTATGGTACAACCAACATGAGGCCAAAAAACCGCTCGAACATGCTCGTCTTGACTTGTGGCACTTTCCACAAATGAGAGCGACAAAAAATAAATGTCACATCCTAATGTTATCAAGGTTCTTCTTACAAACACATTGCACGATAGAACATGCTGCATGCAAACACGGAAAGAGAGCATCCATGACTAGCTGTGCTATGTGCAAAACTGCCAAAACTATGGCGTCATAATAATGTTTGAGCGCGGTTCGCAATGTTACCTGTAAATTAAAAATGCAGCCTACTTTTTAATGTAATATTTACATTATTATGTTATTATTGTGCATTTGTATTGGAAACCATTAAAAAGAAAAAGATACATGACTAATGCTACTGAGATATGGCTAAATTTGTTGTCAACAAAAATGCCGGCACTGTAGTGTTCGTCACAACAACGCAAAGTTCACTGCACTCTGATCATGGCAGATAATGAGTGCTTAACGAGTGCTGAAAAAGAAAAAAAGAAAGCCTTCTCACAGAAAAGTAATATCGCGGCTGCAAAATGCATATCCTTTTTCACACCATTAAATATAATTCAATCTATGGTGATTTGCACGACAATTGTATATATAAATAAATGCTTATACAAGTTGCAAGTAAACGAAGTCAAATCACTTGATCACTTAAATTCGTTGATCAATTTGTGCATGCAAATTTCTCTTGAAGTTGCTTGGCCTAATTGAAAATGAGTGTTTCCATTTGAATGTTCCAATTGAACCAAATGGTTCAATTGGGTACTTGATTTTCCAATTGGAAGTGAGCTTCCAATTGGTTCAAGTGATACCATTTGGCAACTTCAGTTGGTACAAATGGTCTAGTTAGTGTACCCATTTGGTCCAGTTGGAATTGAGCACATCATCTTAAACCATCTGGAAATTTCAAATGGTCCTGTTGGGAATACCATTGGCCCAATCGGAAATAACTATTATCATTTGGACCCCTTGATATTTTCAAATGGTTCCAATTGTTTCTTTAACTGGGCGATGCCCATGGTGTGCAGCATGCACTTCGGTAAGACAGTTGTACAAGCTGCTTTTTGTTCAAATTCAAGTACTTTCTCTCTTAAAGTAAGCTCTATACATATTAAGGTTTAAAATTTGTTCTCTAACATTTTTCTGTTTGGGTTTGTTACTGATGTCAAAATGTCTAATACAGTTTTCCAGGATGTTCAAGTCTTTTGCTTAAGGCAGTAGCAGAAACTTGTATTTGTATGGCAGTCTTGAAGACGTAGAAGTGCCTAATGCCACAAAAATTGGTGAATTTAACTGAGTAAAGCATCTTTGCAAGCCCCCCTCCCCTTTTTTTTTTCGAGTAATGACAATGGGAGTAGACGAATCTGCCTCAGTGGACTGTGTTTACAATGCTTAGCTGCTGACCCGAGGTCCTGGCCTCTACCTCCGTCGCATCATTTGCATTTTGGTAGAGGTAAAATGCTAGAGGCCTGTGTATTGTGAGATGCATGTTAAGAACACCAGATGATAGAAATTTCGGGAGCCCTCCACTATGGCATCTCTCATAATTATATGATGCTTCTCAAATGTAAAACCCAAGATAATAATTTTGTTCTTAGTTTGAAACCAGTGGCCTAGCCAGGGGGGGTTGGGGGTTTAAACCCCCGAAATGTTTCGTGCAACCCCCAACCTCCCCCCCCCCACTTACTCACCCTTTTTCTTCATCACTTTGCGCTGACACGATTTAGAAACTAAGCGGTACTACTATCACAATATCATTACTGGGCGCTTTTACAGTAGATAATGTCTGCTTACGAAAAAACGTACGTGTCGTGGTGTTTGTCAAGGCTTTGGCACCGTAAGAGTTTGGGCAGGAATCTGCCGTGAGCGTTTTAAGCTGGCTCGGCGACGGAATTAATGGTGCAGCAGTGGTCATACTTGTATCCACCGAAACAGGTCTGGTCGGAGTCAATCGCTAAGATAATTTTCACTTGGCAGAGGTTCCCTTTAATAGTAAAAGCCAGGCACAGTTTCAAGGTCTTATAGGCCACGTTTAAGCATATTAGTATAACTCTTCGTGTATCTGCTAAGATGTTGCCACGCTCCTTTCCTCAAGTTTTGTTATCACCCTGTTACACTACGTTCAGCACAAACCGCGCCTACGATGTTCAAAAAGGTTCAAGGCTCTAGTAGATCGTTTTGTTAAGATTATGTCCACCTTGTGAACATTTCAGATTATTCTGGAATCTATGTTGCTGCTAGCGATAACGCTAGGACGTTCGATGGCAAGTGTATAAAAGCCGACGCGCTTCGCCTAGTCAGTTTAATGACGGCCGACGCTGCATTCGTCGCTATCAGTGCAAGTTTGCTACTGTGATCCAACTTTCCGTTTACTGTACACAGATTAGCCCAAATAAACAGTTTAATCAACGTACTGTCTGCTTTTTGTCGACGTCACGACCCCGTGACATCTGGTGGAGGGGCTGTTTCTTTGATGTTCCGGACGCCCCCTTCAAGCTGCGAACCCAGCCCAAGCCGCAAAGAAGACACCGAAGCCAACCCTGAGCAGCGAACAAGCCGCAGGCAGAGGGGACTGCAACCAGAGTACAAGCCCCTTCTTGAAACAGCCAGGCAGCCCTGGATCCCACAATAAACAGCAGCAACCATCATCGCATTTGTGCAGCCTGCCGCAGTCGTTCTCTGGCAGCCCAAGGAACCTCCCACGTTCCATGGATCATCGGGTGAGGACCCGGAAAGCTGGATCAAAATATGCGACTGAGTCGCCACCTTGAACAGCTGGGACCCCGAAGAAATATTACGCCGCATCTACTTCTACTTGGAAGACGCCATGAAGACGTGGTTCAAAAATCACGAATCTAAGCTACGAACCTGGGAACTCTTTCGAATGGTGTTCCTGAGCACGTTCACGAGCATCGTCCACAAGGAAAGAGCCGCCACATTGCTGGAGACAAGGGTGCAACTCCCTAATGAAAGCGTAACCATCTTCGTTGAAGAGATGACCCAGCTCTTTTGACACGCCAACTCCACCATGGCTGAGGAAAAGAAGCTCCGGTTCCTCATGCAGGGGATCAAGCAAAAGCTGTTAGTGGGACTTGTCCGAAACCCGCCGAAGACTGTCAGCAAATTTATTACCGAGGCCGTGACTATAGAAAAGGCGCTTGAGATGCGCACAACTCGATACAACCGCCACGCCTCATTCAATTGTGCCGATGCCTTCAGTACTGACGACCTGCGCGAGACGATTCGAGCGATTGTGCGGGAGGAGCTGCGGAAGCTATTGCCTTCGATGCAGCCTCAAGGCAATTCCATCGCCGACCTTGTTTGAAAAGAAAATTGGTAGTTGCTTAGAATCCCAGAAACACCGCAGCCTGAACCGGAAGCAATCAGCTACATCACTGCAGTGCGCCGCAATGCTCCTCCACGCCCTCGTCAGGACACTGCCCCACCGCAGTTCTTCCGCCAGGCACCACCGTCGACGCCATACTGCCCGCCGGCAGGCCAACGCAATGCTTCAAGGAAGACTGACGTCTGGCGCTCTCCTGACCACCACCCACTGTGCTACCACTGTGGTGAACACGGTCACACTGATGAACCTGGTCACCCCTTTATAAGAAAAACTGATGTAAGAGACAAGTGGGTATAAGAGAGACCTGCGTTCCTAATCAAAATAGGGGTGATAAAAAAAATGCATACATAGTACTCCGCTTATAAGACACACCTCATATAAAAGACAAGATATGCTTCCCAGTGTGTGCCTCTTATAAAAGGGTTCAACTGCTCAAGAAAGGCGATAAAGGGGACAGAATGATGTGTTGTACTTCGAGTTTGTTGTCATTCCACTTTCCTAGCTGTTTTTATTGACATAAAAACTTGCCAGTGATATGGAATTCTGAAGTTTTTCAATGTAGGATGTGTTATGTATTTCTAAACACAGACTTTATGAACAAAGATGCCCAATAGACACCTGAGACAGGGTATGACTTATGAATCTTCTGTTTGTGCATTTCTTTCATTCAAATTTGTGCTGACGTTTGCAGAGATAACCCAGGGTGTGAATGGACGCACCACCAATGGCCACATGGCAAAGTTTGTCATCTACCCCGATAATTTGAACCTCTACGGTAAGATTTATTTTATGCACAAAATTTTCTCATTTAAAGATTTTTAGAGTGAAATAGTGTAGAACAATCATATACTTCGCCGCATAACTACATAGACAATTTGCTGAAAGTACTATACTTTTCAGGCTATAGACCTTTTTAACGTGTGCACTGTCATATTGTCTAGCAAGTGGCGCCATTCATAGTCTGGCAACCCATTGTCATGTGCCAAGCTCCGCATTTGTGTGGAAGGTATCAATGCAGTAGCAGATGGAGTCTTTTTTTTTTTCATTCTGGTGCACTGAAATTCATATCAAGTGATGCAATCTAGGTAGAAAAATGAGTCTTTGAGTCGCTCTGAAAGGTTTGGTATGTTTGAGGTCAAGTATGTTGTATGTTGTCGGCACTCTATCTACCCTGTTTGAAAAATGCGAAAACAATTCGACTCATAGCAGGGCAAGCAAAGGGCATTGTATTGCTCTTTGGCAATACAATAACTTTTTCCTGCTCTGTAATATTTAAGTTTGTTTTTTTTACTTGCGGTTTGTTTATGCTCTCGTAGCAACTATACCGCTCGTACATGTGGTCGTGCATGAGCGCACACTCAATTTCGTGGTGATGATGGCATCTGTTTCTTGCTCACAAACTGTTGCCTATCTTGTTGTTCGACTTTTAGGTGAACAATTATTACTCACTTGTTTATTTCTCACAGGTGTGGACAAAATAAGAGCTGTTTACAAGGGTGGGCTGGTAATTGCAATGCTGATGTGTACATTCCAGTACAATTATTTCTTTACGTACTGCAGGCACTTTGAGCATCCATCTACAAATCTATCGATCTATCTATCTATGTACCAGCCTACACCTGGATACTCTCGGGATCACCCCTTTAACTTGGGGTAAACAAAAACAAAAATTAGTATGGGAGGGTACCGTAAAAACCCACGTATAGTTCGGACCCGCGTATAGTTCGAGGTGTAACTCGGGGATAGCAAACGCGAGAAAAAACATTTTCACGCGAATATTGTTCGAGGAAAAGAGAAAAAATGCATTTATTTACACACTTGCATGCGCACGCACGCGCGCGCACGATTAGTCGTCGTCTTCGTCTGACACACTGTCTTCCGAATCTCCCTTCCGAAGTCCGCAGGCGAAATGCCTTTGTCTCGAGCGATCTCCCTTGCCTTTGCCTGCAGCAGCTCGATGTGCACAGCGAGTTGTGCTGCTCGTTGCTCCCGAACAAAGTCCGTCAGTTCTCGTTCCACATCTGGAAATGCTCCATTTTTCGGTCCCCGGAAACTTTTTCTCTTGTCGCAGCATGCAAAAAGGGCTTCCTTCTGCTTCCGCCAACCGCGAAAGCTCCGCTCATTCACGCCGAACTGCCGCTCCGTAACACAGTTGCCGATGGTTTCGGCAGCAGAAAGAACTTTCCTCTTAAAGGCAGCCGAGTACTGCCTGCGCGGTCCCGACATGGCTTGAAATCACGGAAGTAAAATCGTGGCCGTCGTGATGTGCGCCAAGTGATTGCAATGGCCACTGTTGCTCGCCTGATGCACGCCTGTACCTGTAGGTCTCTAGGACTAACGCCGCTCACGCTACCACGCCACCTAACGTAGAAGTGCGCAGACACCTGATAATGATGATAGCACCAACCAATGCCGATACCAGAACTGAATTCGGGCCGAAACTTTTTTGGAATCCGCATATAGTACGGGGCTGAAATTTCGCATCCTAAATTTTAGGAAAAAAAACCCGGGCTATACGCGGATTTTTACGGTAGGTCGCGTACGCCATCTGATTTTTTTTGCCAAACATGTGGTACATACATACCTGCGGGTGGATATGTGCACAGGTATGTGTTACAGGTGTTTGACAATTTATATCTACCCAAGAATGGTGAGAACATACTTGGGTAATTTTAATGCGTGATTGTTCAGAAAAACCTGACATTGACACTGTTGACCTGACAAATGCAGAGATTAAGTATTAGGGTCTCTACAGATATCAAACCTCAGCTATGAGCATGGCAATGAAGTATTCTATCACAGAGCCATGCCAGGTCTTGGAATTACTTTTCAAATAGACCCTAATGTTCGTGAAACGTGAATTGCATTTGCAGTGCTGGCTATCCAATTTTATTAACATATGTACTCCAACGATACAACCGTCACATCAAGTTAATGTCAAATAGAGTTAGGCACCATTCACTGAAGATGTAGCAGTATCCAGGGCTACCATTCTCACAAGTAGCAGGGCTTCATATCAGCTTACCGCTTCTGGTGTTGCTAATATATTCATATTGCTGTTGGCATTATTATGTAACTCTTAACAACTGGTTATATAAAACATATGTGGCTGTTTAACGTATGTTTGTGTGTGCATTTGAACATATCTTTAGCTCCACTTCATAATGTATTGCCCACTAAAAAAATTACAACACGGGCACCTTCCATCCACATACTTTATATAACATCAATTCTATAGGTACATGGGATCTTTAGATTTTTTCTTTAGTTTTGAAAAAGGGCGTTTGATTGGATTTTTGCACTGATAAAGCGAAGATGGTTAGAGAGTATCTTCTTCCATTTAGGCACGAAGTGTGCCCGAGTTCAGGCCTATGATCAGCATAAGAGGTATTTTGAGTTTATTTCTTTAATAACTTTGTCTATTAGTTGTGCTGTTTATGCAAAATTCTGGCAGCCGTTTATAAAGCTAAGCAGTGAAATTAACAGTAATAAAAATGCTAGACAACCTATATGACATGCTTTTTTGTTTTGCTCTTAGAAGAAAAATAACTGTTTTATATCATGGCGTGACTTTTCAGACTCGGTTGTTAACCACGCAGGAAGTTGTCTTTTTAGTTATTTTACACATGAAGTGTGAGAACTTTTTTTCTTTAGTTGACTTTCAAATTTCACATCGTACACAATGCATTCCACCATCTTTAGGAAAGTTGTACACTCGGGACAAGAATCTTGCCATGTCCTTAACATGTAGAGTTCAGTGAATGTTTGGGTTTCATAAGGCCATTTTGCAGCACAAGTTAAATGCATAGTGCCAGAACCCCTCTGCAAAGTGAGGGTTTTCTCGTGCATGTTAATACAGCTACATCAACTGCAGTGATCACTGTATTAAGCCAAGCCAGCGCCTCCTCTATTTTTTTTCAGTGCCCGAGCGAACGCTCTCTTCAGGCCTTCGAGCACGCGCTCCACCTCCACTAGCTGCTGCCGCACGATGGCGCTGCGCGAATAGACTACGAGATGCTGGCGCTGAACGGCCACGCGTATTAGGAAGCTCACGAATTCGTGTTTTCATGCGAGTTAATTTTCAGTCATGCTTCTTGACGGCTTCCACGGATGCAGGGAGAATGAAAAGTAACGCCAACGTAGTGGTGCACTGCTTTCACCGGGCTCTGTCGGGTCATGCTACCGGTTCGATATATCTGTCCGAGTTCTATTGCATTCGTGTTTTATTTTCTCTTTCAAGCTAATACAACCTCATTATTTGCATGCCTCAGTATATAATACTGCTGTGTACCACTCGGCATATCCGACGAAAACAAAAATCAGATTGTCTTTTTGCATTTTTTATTAGTTACAAAAAAAAAAACTCGTCGGTCTTCTTATGAATTCACCTGAGATGACTGAAAGGCAGAAACTATCCTCGTTTTCTTCTTATTCAACCCAATGAATGTTTTCTACTTTGGTATGGGATATTTCTGCCCCTAACATGGTTTTCTTACCGCATCAAGAGTTGGAGAAAAAGCTAGTTTTCTGCCCCTCAGCTGGTAATGCACTGGCCCTCATGATCGGCCCATTTCAATAAAGAAACGTCACAAACATCTTGATATGTGACGTCATGTGATGACGTTTTTACGTAATGATTTCTTGCCTCACTAGTGTTTGCGCCGCTGACGCGAGAGGATGCCTAACGCCACAGGTGATCAATTTTCCCTTTTGATGGGGCATTTAAAGCTACCGCCTTAATGCACTGTACGGCTGTAGTTCCATGAAATTGCAGCTTCCGCTGGTTTTCGGGGGGAGCGTGCTTGCAGTAATCAGGCAGAACAGTTGGTCTCCTAATAAATTTTTGTACTACACTCTAATATGTAGCAGTCATTTACAGCCTGAGTATTTTATAGATTATAAATAGTGGTGGCTGAAGACTACCGCTGAATGGGAGCCCATGGGTGCCACACAGCCATTCGGCCTCTGCTCGCTACCGAATTAACAGACCATAGGGTAGACTAAAGAAACAGAGCTGAGCAGTCAGATGTTAAGGCTACAACAATCCGTCCACGAATACACAGACAAGCTTGAGCGACTGACCACAGGCTGCATTTTTCGTGCCTGTCATCTTGGCTCAAGCTGAGAGACAGCATTAGACTTCAGACTTAACAGTGCCTGTTCAAAACATAGGCAATGATCGTAGAAATGGTGCTGCATATGGAGCTGTTCTTGTTTATTTCACGATGATTTCATTGTTTAAGCTCTCAAATGGTGAAATCACCTGCCATATTTCCTCATTTTCTGACACATGCTTTTTCTCGGTGGCAACACATGTAATGTTTTGCAAACGGAACGGATGATGACCAATATCCCTGGAAGCAGTCTAGTCGCATTTTGTGCTTTTTTTTTCTCTAGTTCCTTTTTTTTCTCTAGTTGTTAGAACAACCAAAAAAGGCACAGTGGTTTCCTGTTGACCTTTCGCTGGCTAACATCACAGTGAAGGCGAAGAAAATATGCAGTTCGACTTAAAACATGCTTAAATTCTTTGACAATGCCACTCTTCCAAGCCCAAGCCTCTACACTCACTCGGCGCTATTGGCATGAGCCAGAAAGAAGGAAGGCGCCGGTTGCCAATCCGGTCCTCTTTGCTCGATAGAACGGTCTATGGTCCACACTTGATATATTGTTCACTAGAGACCAATTCAGGCTTAACATAAGTTTTTTATTTAGTCCACGCCCAATGCATAATTTACAGGAACAAACTAGGACAGAAAATTGGCATTCTTAGCTTGT